TTTGTAGTTATTCTGCAATCGTACCAAAGGAGAGAAGCTGGAATGTCATGACCATGAAAGGCCCCTTGTGGGGGTGGGAGCTCAGAAATCATTACTTATGTCTACTCTGTATTTTTTGAGGTAACATCTTCATTTGTCATAAGATGCAGAGTGACTCTCCTGTAGGCCCAGAAGAGGCTGAAAGTGAAGCGGGCTGGTTTCTCAATGCCAGTGTGACATATAAAATTGGTGCGTCTTCCTTCTATCCCATCAGTATATTACTCTATAAACAAACTGATAACTACATTTACTCCATCCCTAAGGAAGACATGTTCTTAAAAACACCCTTTCTTTTCTTTTTTTTTTTTTTTAAAGGTGACCTGGGCCATGTGACATCAATCAGCAAACCTAAAGTAGAAGAAGGAGATATTCGTTTCCTGGCTAATGAGATTTTGCAAGAGGTATAAATTAGGGAAACAGGGTGGAGGAGGGCTTGTATTTTTCCATTTTTAATTTCTGAAACAGAATCTTGCTGTGTTATCCAATATGGCTGCTGCAAACCTCTTGTCTCCCTATCTTAGCTTCCCAAGTAGCTGGGGCCACAGATGTTCAGTGAATTTTATAATTAATTTAACTGTTTTTTATACTTTCAAATGAAGGCTCATGGTGCCCCAAATGAAGAGTATGTATTTGTAACTCAAACTTATTGCGTCTCATTTACATTCAGAATAGAGACCAAACACAGTAATGAAATTCCCAAAATGCATAGAAATGTTGTCTTCATCAGCAACAAATCAATATTTACATAGTTCTTTCTAAAGATCCCCTTACTGTTTTTAGTATTTCTTAGAATTCTTAGCCTTGTGGATCCCATAGGATGAAAAAAAAAATCTCTTCATGGTCATCTTTGTCTTTATCATGTTATCTTCCTGATAGCCCACCAGTTCTGATCACTAAAATGACTGTTAATTTCTGCCCATCTTCTAGGCTTCCTGTTAAGTCTGACTTAGACTATAACTTCCTTCTTGGTAATACTTAGGGAAAAAGTAATTTCTTATGACCAGTTAATTTTATGTTCTCGCCTCCTAGAATCTGACAGAAATGATGCAGAGATTCTGCCTTGGGCTCTTGGGGCACAGGAATATTATTAAGGCTTGTTTATGTTCCCTTAGCTTCTTAGGCATGAACCAGCAACTACGGTAAATATAACTGTTGGCCCAGAAGAAGTTGAAAGTGAGGGCCCATGAGATACAGAGCTTCTGTGATACCAGACCTCTGCCAATCACATTTTAGACTCACTATCTTTGGCAGACTAACTGGTCTTCTTGTTTTCTGTTTTGTAGAATTATCAACACCTTCCCAAAGCAGACATATTTGCCTTAGGGTTGACAATGGCAGTGGCTGCAGGAGCAGAGTCATTACCCATCAATGGTGACATGTGGCATCATATCCGCAAGGGGAACTTTCCAGAGATTTTCCAAGAGCTCTCAGATGACTTTTATGGTCTACTCAAGGTGACACATCTTCTGAGATGAAAAGCAGATGAAACATCTATATTTTAAATGTGAAGGTGTGGTGGTAGGGGTCAGGGGTTAGGTAAACATGAACTTGGTTGGATCCGTGCATGAACAGGGGTCGAAAGGATGTAGGAAGTTCAGACAAGACAGAATGAAATTTCTTAAGGAAACTTAACTTCCACGATACACTGATGTGAACACTTTTGATTTTCTCTTCCTAATAACCCTGTAGAATGGCAGGTGGCACATCTTTCTGCAGCAGAGGAAACCCAAGCTCAGAGGAGCTCTTGTATTCAGTTAATAATTGGCAATTCTAAATCAAACCTCATCTTTCCCCTCCAACTTCAGGGTTTGCACTGTTGTCAGTGGCCAGCAATGACACTGTTTTCTAAAAGAATCACTTAAAGAGTATCTTTAAAAGTGTAAGCAACTTAGAGTTAGAATAATGGTGGACTGCATTTACTTAAGAGTTTCCCATAGCTGAAAGAGGTATGTGAATGCCCTGGAAAAGTGGAGACTTGCAGAGAAGACTTGGGACAGTTTTTCTCAAGTGATAGTGAAGCAACAGAGAAAGTAAATGAAAGAGTATAGGTGATTAATCTATTGTATTGAAAGGCTGAAAGCCAAAGTGCTCTTCAGGCAACACACAAGAGATGTTTAAGGATTTTAGGATCATTAAGAAACACAAAGAAGTACAATATAGTGGAAATCCAAGTCATAGGTATAGGTACAGACAGCCAGTGGTACCAGGCATGTTCTACCTTCTGTTCAAGGTACAACAATGTTTCCACTGATGACACACAGCTTTGCAAAACTTAGCAGGAGATATAGAACTGAAGTTGGCTTGAATGGGGAGATACTGTCAGCATCGAAATGTTTGTTTCCTTCCATGGTCCTAAATCTGTCTTCAGAACATGATCCACCCAGCTCCAAAGAAGAGACCTTCCGCAGCAGCTCTGGCCAGAAGTCAAATTCTCTGGCCCTTCCTGGAGAAGACAGATGAACTCCAGAGACAACTGAATTTGGAGAAACATAAGACAGCCACACTGAAAAGGTATAGTTTGTTGTTGGAGTCAAGAAAGGATCTGTTTGAACCACTCGCAGTGGTCTGACTGGACTAATGTGTCTCTATAGACTCGTGTTTATTGCATAATCTACATCATCAGACATAGTCTCTGACCACAGGAAGGCTGGCAGTGTGCTTTATTTTATGGCATGGGACTCTGCAGCTCTGTGATTAGACAGCTTGAAAGAATTCCAGGTAACGCAAAGGAAGCAAGAGGGAGGAATACAACACCAGCAATAAGCAAGCTGAGGGACAGCAAGTATCAAGAGTAACTGGTGATCTCACAAGCCATCCTGATGTGGCATCTATGTAGGCAAGATCACAGAACTTCTAGTCTTAGCTAAATAGTCATCTGTTTTAGGATGCTTAGGTGAGTAGAGACCTGCTTTAGAAAGCATCAAGTTACAGAGAAAGAAGGCAGACATCCTATCCTGATAACATGTTTAGAGGATTATATGTTTTCCTGAGAAAAGGCAATCTGACCTCTGGTTGATGTAGGTTTATATTCATTTGTTTATTTATTTCTTCATTAGACAAATGGGAATTAGTATGGGTGTGGTTGGAGGAAGTCATACAATGATTTTTACATAAGCTTTTGAAGGAATTCTCAGTTTATTTTTGTATATGTGCACTATTGAAAATGAAAGGAAATGAAATATGGTCCTTGCTTGAAATTTGCTTAAGAGTTCAATTTTGATTACCTACAAAGTCCATCCTGGAAGGACTAGCTTGAAAACCTGAACAGTCACCAAACCCTCTTTTGATTTTGAGCTGCCAGCCTCAGACTGGCAAAAGACTCCCAGCCTTTAGTGAGGTAATTAGCTATTTCCAAGAAACCACTTCATATTCTTTTGCTCTTTTAGAGTTTCATTGTTTCAGGTAATAAACTACAAAACACATTCACACATATATGTATATATGTATATATATGTGTGTGTGTATGCATATATATATGTGTGTATGCATATATACATATATACATATATATGTGTGTGTGTGTTTATAGGAATGCAAATTGTCTGTGAAGATGTATTGTACATACTCTGTGAGGCTAGGATGAAGGTACAAGTGACTGTCATTGTTCAATACAAATGGCATCCATCATATAAATGAGGCAGATGACATCTTGAAATTGTCTAGATCAATGGGTAGTAAACTTGTTCTATATAGGACTAGATATTCAATAGTTCATGCTTTGAAGGATGTATGATTTCTGCTGAATTGATTCAACTGTGCCATTCATTGTTCAATGAAAACAAGCACTGAATATGTATTTGTAATATGTATGTATATAGCAGATAAAAATGAGTAACTGTTTCAATAAGATCTGTAGTTTGTTGCCCCACAGTTCTTACATTTTGCCTAAAGAGTTGTTCACCTAGAATTTTAATTTTAAAGGTGATTTATGAAGCATCCGTGTATCAACCTTTTAAATGATAGTAAAAATCATAAGAACTGATGATGCCATTCTGCATGCAGCTCAGGCTTGACTCTGTAAAAACTGAAGTAACAAGAGAAATTAGCGGTGATGATAAATACTCCCTCTCCCTAGGGAAGACTTTACCTGTCTCCTTTGATTGCAGGGAACTGAAAAAAGCTCAGCATATCCAGACCCCTCAGAGAGACATCCACCATTGTTATCATCAGGCCTGCAAAAGCCCGAGAGCACAAGACACCTCCTGGTGGGCAGAGGGAGGAAGGAGCCCTCATGCTTCACCTGTGGGGCATCCTCCGTGTAGGGATTCACTTCTCACCAGGTAGCCTTTTGCCACACAACCTTCTGAATACTCTTACAGGATACAAGATGGAACCAGCTTGAATGCACAGAGATCTCAAAAGCCACCCTGATGTGGCATCTATAGGCAAGCTTACAGAGCTTCCAGGGTTTCTTCTTAGCAATCATTGGTCTTGTGTATCACAGATACTGGAGACTTCTTTTCCCTAATGATGAATCTCTAGTGCCACTTACTAAGGACTTCTCATGAATAATGGCTCTGACCTGAAAGAAGAAGCAGAAACTTGCTACTTTGGCCTATGGATTAAGAAGTTGCCTTTACTTATTCTTCTCTGGGGTTCAAAGAACTTTCATTGTACATAGAAAGGGATAAAATATGGCTTTAACTAACAGCTTCCGAGAGAATGCTGCCTGCATTCCAGAGTGCTTTCCAAGATCTGTCTGCCCCTACAACCACCAGCTCCTTTGAAAAGGAATTTGCCTACTGTACTTTCCGAATGGAAGCAATCTCTTTTTTGATTTTGTATTATTAAATAAAAGGCTATCATTGTGTGAAACAATTAGAGTAAGACTATAATTTGGACATTCCTGAGCTGCGTATTAACTTGTGTAACACCATCAGCAGAGGCAGAGGACCCAGGAAATTTGCTGTACTTGTTCCCCATGTGTTCTAACTGTGGCTGTTCCCCACATGTCTTAGGTCTCTGTGGATGACCCCAATCAGGTTCTCTTGTTTTTGTTGTTTTGTTCTTTTTTTTTTTTTAACACCAGAATTTGTCCTTTTGTTTTCTGTGCTTTTAAGATATTTTAATTCAAATCATTTTAAATAAAGATTTTTATCTTGTCCAAAGACAAACATGGATAAAACATTCTTCTTTGTAATATGTACAAAGAATGTGAACTTTATGTTAGAATTTCTTGTAATTAAGAGGAAATATAGGTCAGCAGTGGCATATCTTTGTGTTAACATCATAGACAAAATTGTGCAGGTACAAGTACATCTATAACAGCAATAAAATATTGACAATAAATATATACTTTGTGCAGTCTTAATGAAGGCAACCTGTTAATATTCTAATTTAAAACTAAGAAACTATCCTTACTGACTACAAAGTATTTCTAAAGTTGCTTTCAAAAACCTTAAAGTATATGCTACTTGAATTAGCATATGTAGAAGAATTATAATCTCACAGTCATTAGGAGGCTTTATAAAAGTGATTTAAAAGTGAGAATTTGATTAGACTATGTGGTGGTTTGAATATGCTTGGCCCAAGGGGTGGCAGTATTTGGAGGTGTGACCTTGTTGGAGGAAGTGTGTCACTGTGGGATGGGCCATGAGACCCTCCTCCTAACCACATGGAAGTTAGTCTTCTCCTAGTGGCCTTCAGATGAAGATGTAGAACTCTCAGCTTCTCCTGTACCATGCCTGCCTGCATGCTGCCATGCTCCCACTTTGATGATAATAGACTAAACCCCTGAACCTGTAAGCCAGCCCCAGTTAAATATTCTCCTTATAAGAGTTGCCTTAGTCACTATGTCTGTTCACAGCAGTAAAAACCCTAAGACAGACTATCCAAAGGTGGTTGTAGTGGTTGTTATTTGGGTTTTGTTTGTTTGTTTGCACCAACTTTCTTTTTCCAAAACTTTGTTTATGGTAAATTATTGCCATCCATAGCTGGAACTTTAATACACACACACACACACACATACACACACACACGACCAAAGGTAACACAGTACTCTGCACTCCTGGGTACAGATAGTAACATGCTTCTCCTCCAGTCAGTTTGGAAAGGTTTAAAATCTCTAGTCTACTACTATTGGGAATTGATATTGAACACAGCTCTGGTGCCACAGCCTGTCATCACTTTTCACTGGGAAGGCTGTGTCCACAGATGAGCTACTTGATCAAATCAGTCTCCTTCCTCCTCCTCCCATTCTGTCTCCTGCTCTGCCTTAGTTACTGTTCTATTCCTGGAAGAGACAGCATGACCAAGGCAACTCTTAATTGTTTTTTAAAAAGCATTTCATTAAGGGCTTGCTTATAGTTTTAGAGGGTTAGTCCATATTATCATGGTAGGAAGCAGACAGGCATGGGTCTTGGAGCGGTAGCTGAGAACTTTACATCCTAATCTGAAGGCAGCAGACAGGTAGACACTAGGCCTGGTGTAGGGGTTTGAAACCTCAAAGTCCATTCTCAGTGACACACTTCCTCCAAGAAAACCACACGTATTCCAAAGAAGCCTTGTCTCTGAAGCCTTCTAATTATTTCCAAACAGATCCACTCACTGGTAAACATTAGACATTTAAATATGAGCCTATGGGAACCAATCTCACTCAAACCACCACATGCCGTGTCCTCCCCTCCCTCTCTGTCTGTGGAAAGGGTTCTGGGTTTCCCTATAATGGCACTAGAGCACATTATAGATTCTTGTATCTCTAACAAAACTTTTGAGCCTTCTGTTCCCAGTTAAAATGTGTTGGTTCTTCAACATTTTGACTTACTTGAATTTGAATATGCCTGAAATCATATTTCCACTCATGTCATGTATTTTTTTTGTGTGTGTGTTCCACCGTGAAATTGAAGCCTTGAGAAGCTTGCACTTGTTTTAAGGTACACTGTAAACTGTGTACTCATAACAGGTTCTTTGTATTCTAGGAGCTCAACACCAGTGGGGATGACACACCTTCATGGTCATTTAACAATAAACATATAAACAATATGCAAAAGGGGAGGAGGTGACTAGTTGAAACAAGCATTTTTAAAGTGTGTACGTGTGTGTGTTTCACACTCTGAGGATACTGACAGCTGACAGAGGCTGAAGTGCCTGTTGCACTAAGAAGGAACATTATCAGAAGAAATACTTCAGTTACAGTTTCTCCCTGACACTGCATGAGTATATATATCCATTATAATACCGTTTTCATTGTTAAAAGGTAAAAAAAAAAGAACTTCTTCCAGATAACCAGCTACGGAAGGAGAAGGTGTCGCTTCTTTCTGAGTAGAAAACAGCGCTCAGCCAAGACTCCCCATTCAGGTGTTCTTTATAAAATGTTTAGGCAGGGTGCTCTCAAGTTTCAGGGAAATGTCTATATTTTTCTTTAACCAACCTTCTCTACATTTTTCACATAGAGTGAAGGTGATATTAACGGGAGAGTGAAGAAAGGAACTGGATATACATGAGCCAATAGATGTATACAACCTGGACAAAAAGTTAAGCTTCACTCCAAAGTTCAAGTCAGGAACCATTAAAACAAAGCCTCCAAGGTGGGTGGGGGATTTCTCTCTGGAAGAAAGGGTGCACTTTGTTTTTCCTTTGCCTTGTCTATAAAGCAGAAGTAGGGCTTGTAAGAGGATGTTTTATTATCACTAGCAGTGCAGGAGTCCAATTCGGTGCCTCCTTATTTCAGGAAATCATCTTTGTAAAGGTGACAATCCTGGGAAGCAAACATCTATAAACATATCACTAGTGAGCTAGACTTCAGAGCAGGTTAAAATATAAGTTGAAAACCATGTTAAATAATTCTGATTTTTTAAAAAAATTTTCTTCTTAAATAGGAAGAATGGACTTGAGGAGGCAATGTGTGTGTTTGAATGATCTGGAGTTCCCTTCCTTCTAACACTGGACTGTTGTGGATAGCCCTGGTCTTGTATTTTAATGCTAATTCCTCTTTCCTGGGAGGGGCTGTAGATGAGGAGTGAATCAGTAAACAGGTGACTTGTGAACCTTCTGCCCGCCTTAACTTGTAGAATAAAGGCTAGAGCCGGTGATTGGGCAGTAGAAGGGGAGGTGGAGCGAAGAGTTTGGGGTGGGGGGAGGAGGACGACGATGAGGAGGAAGGTGGAAGGCCCAAGGAGGAGAAGCACATGGCCTGTGAAAACTGCAAGTTCTAAGGGATCTCATGGATGGGGAATAGCGTAGTGGTAATTCTGCCCAATCCAGGCGTGCAGTTTGTACTTGTATCATTTGAGTTGTGTTTTTATTGATCAGGCCTTCTTGGGTTGTAAATTTACTGCAACAATGGACACTGACAAAAACTGGCCTCACCACATCTAGCTGCCTTGGGTTCTTTAAGCCGTAGGACTCACACACGTGTCACTCCACTAGGGCAAGGATTAGGGTAAACGATGCAGGACTTAAAGGAGTAAAAGAAATGAAGTAATCGAAATAAAAGATGTCTCAATGCAGTATTTTGGAAATGTTAAAACGAAGACCTTTTACTATGAACACGATGATACCAAAGACAAGATCAGTAAGCGTAAGTTAACTGAAATTGTTTAAGGCTGTCGCTGAGTGCTGGGTGTGGTGGCACATACCTTTAATCACAGCACTAGGGAGGTAGAGGCAAGAGATCTCTGAGTTAGCTACCAGCCCCGTCTGGTCTACAAAATGAGATTCAAGTTTCATTTCAGTCCAGCCAGGAATACACAGTGAGATAGTGTCTTTTTTTTTTTTTTAAAGCTCCATCTAGAATAATTGACAGAGATGTGGACTTGAAATATGAAATGAAAAAAAAATCCTTAAAATCAGTTTCTATTAAAGCTTATAAGTAAAATATTACCTACACTTTGCTTTAAGATAAAGCAATGTTTTGACTTTTAATACTCCTTTAAAATGTTTTGAAATTTCATCAACTTTTAATGTTTTAGGAAAAAAGTACATAAAAATACATAAGGGTCCATGTTCCTTGTGCCTTAGGCACAGTTTGGGACCTGCACTTAATAAAGATGTTAAATATTTTGCTCCTCACGTATTTCTTGAAATGATTTTGACTTAACATATTAACATATCCAGATCACCGAGGTTTTGACAGCCCTTAATTCTCCAGTCTTAATGCATTAGAAGACTTGCGTCGGTTTTAGTTCCTCCAGGGGCTCAAGTATGTTTTATTTCACCTACCTTGCTCCCTCTCCCAGGCTGGGAACATCAAGTAATTTCAACTCAGGGCTGGGAGTATAGTACTGGGGCAGAGTTTGGTTAGCCAGTGCAAGGCCACTACCGGAGTGAGGGTGGAGATCAGGAAAAAAAACAAAACAAAACAAAACAAAACAAAACCAACAACCAATACAACCAACAACCAAACAAATTAAAACAAAACAAAACAAAACCTAAAACCACCCACAGGTGGCATCGTTGATCCATCCACTTTTGCCTGGAAAGAAGTTCCTGGTACTTCTAAGTTGAGGGGTCGTGTTTCCCGCAACATCAGCCGGCGGCATTTCAACGGCGCACACTATAGGCTTCCTGTTTTTCCTTGCCTATCGCGAGCTTTGCGGGCTCCATGCGCCGGAAGCGAGCCGCTGGCGGTCGAGTTCTGCGCGTTAGGTGAGGGAGGGGAGAAGGTTGAGACAAAGTTGTACGTCCGGAGTGCATGGGTGCGTGCGGCCCTCGGGAGGAGGTATGCGGCTCCTCGCAGGAGTTCGAGTGTCCTCGCTGTTCCCTGTGCTGCCTGCGAGCGCCACTTTAGGGGAAAAGCACCCGCTTATTCCCGCGGCGAGGCTGGGGTGCCGGGCTTACTCAGCGCTAACGGGAATGAAGGCACTGATTCGAGTCCTGTCGTAGCAGTATTTTTTTATGCCCTTACTGTTTGTAGAGACAATTTTAGGGGTTTTGAGTAACAGAACAAATTAGAAAAACAGAGACAATTTATATTGTAAAGAAATTTTAACAGACAATGGATTGGAAGTGAGAACAGTTCCCCCCCTCTTCTTTTCTGCTGGTTACTGAACAGAGCAGTTAGTTGAAACCCAGAACCCCAGTTTCTTTTGTCTCGTTCAGTTTTTTGTTTTTAAAAGGAAAGAAGTCCCCAAATGTGCAAATTGAGTGCACATGAAATTGGATGCACTTAGGATTTAGGACTAGTGTGTTCGTGTTCTTGATGTATACTGTAGTTTTTGGTTTATCATTTTTCTCTTTTCTTTCTTTCCTTTAGGAAAAGCCTAAAGATTAGGTTGTAAGAAAAACCGAAGCCATGTTTCGAAGACCTGTGTTACAGGTAGTCATTTTTCTACGTTAGTGAGTCCTCAATAGCCATGGGCTTTTTGTTTGCTTTGGTTTTTGTTATTGTTTTTGTTTTTTCTCCCGATTTTCCATACTTAAGCACGAGATTCTTAAACCCATCCATCATGGTATATGTGTTTATTTGATAGGGAAGGTTCAAGATGGATTTTGTGTGTGTGTGTGTGTGTGTGTGTGTATGTGTAGCTGTTTACTGAATCAAAAATTATTTTAAAAGTGTATTCACATATGTAGTACAAATCATTAATTTAATAAGTATTTATTTAGGTCAGAGTATGCATTTAATTACTTAAGTTTTGTTTATTCGTGTTTGTTTTGTTGTTTTTGAGACAGCAACCCATATAGTTCAGGCTATCTTGAGACTCACTGTTAAGCTGATATGAAGAACCATGATCCTCCTGCCTCTGTTTCCCCGATGCTGGTATTTTAGACTTGCATCACCACACCTGGCTTCTTCTATCGTTTTCCATGTGGCTCTGGTTCCTTTTCTGACCTGGTCCTTCTCCTCCCCACTCCCATCTTGCTATCCAGAGAGCAGAGCTCACTTCTCACCACAAATCCATTACCATTCTGCAATCTAGTCAGATGTCCTCTACTCTGGGCAGCCTTAAGCAGGCCTCTGTTACCGTTTCTCCTCATTGTGACATGTGCATACCAAGTCTTGTAAATTCTCCTAATGGAAAAATCTCTCTCTGACTCTTCTTCTCTTAAGATGAATGAGTCAAGTTTGTTATAAAAGTCTGTTGACTTCCCCATCTTACTCTCAAGTTGATCTATCCTTAGCTCCCTACTTTAATCTGTACATACTCTGAGCCTTTTAAAATTGAAGTTATACTATAGTATCTTTAAAACCAAATGTGAAGTAAGTTTGTATTTTGAGAGAGTATTGAAATTAAATAATCCTTTCCCTATTTCTTCTTTTCTGCTAGGTTATGATTTGTGTGTGTGTTCCTAAGATGAGGCATATTCTTATTTTATAACATTTCATGAGCTCTGGCTTTTCTGAATCTCTCACACTAGTGCTTCTCTGTGATCACGACATAGGAACTGATTAGCAGTTTAATCCTGTATTGTGCAGAACATCCTATCCTTATATCTACCCATAGTGATAGTATTATGTAGCTAAAATCACTCCAGGAAGAGGTGTTCGTTTGAGTGGTATGGAGAGAGAAGGCCAGTATTAAAAAAGACCAGGGAAAGAAACAAGTCTCCATTGGAATTTTGAAAAAGCTAGATCTAGAAATCATAATGTGGTAATCTGACACTTCAGAGTTGTAACCTGTCTCTGCCCTCATTTGCATGGAGAGATTGCATAACTGGAGATTACCCAGCAGCCCTCCCAGGCCTGAGCAACAGCCAGATGAAATGACCCTTCTTACCTGGCAGGAATTACATTCCATAGAACTGCCTTCAAAGGGAGCAAGAAGTTCTAACTCTAATTCACTAACAGAGTGAGAACTTCAAAACTGACAGCATCCCCCTCAGCCAGTGCCTGAAGTCTGAAGTCCCTGAGGGTCCTATTAACTGTCAGCTGCCTCCTGAAGTCTCCTGAATACAATTGTTTTCTTTCCATTGCTTGTTCTAAAAGAATTCTTTGGCCTGCCAATCCATTTGTTTCCCACCCCTGCCTGCTATATGAACAATGCTCTCACTTGGGAAATATTTCTGTCTTAGAACATGTCTGGCTCTCTGAACTTGGAGTGTAGTGATGTATACTCTTCTTACCTGAGTGGTAACCATAGAACAGCATGCCTTTAAGACAGCAGAGGGCAAGTTGGAAAAACAGCCTTGGTGTCAGTCAGCCTGGAGGTGTAAGTTGTAAATCACTACCTACTGTCTAGTTTCCTGGACAAGTCGTGCACTCTCTGGGCTTAATTTTCCTTGGATCTATCTGTGGTAGGGATAATTTGATTTTGAGTCGATAGTTAGTTAAGGATTAAATGGTAATAGGTGTAATTGTCATGTTAAGTGCTGCGTTCTTTTTCACAAATTATGATTTAATAGCCATACCTTTGAACCATATTATTTGCACTGCTTTAATTTGATCTCCTGAAGGAGAAGTTTTCCACTGCACCAGGCTCACTATAGAAGCTGTTGGCCTTTTGCAGCAGATTAATGTTATTCATCATCTTTGCTCATTTTTAAATGAGATATTCTAGGCCAATCATTTGAGATGTCCATTTCTTTATAAATTTTGAACAACCAATCGGGGGAAAAATGTATTATAGACCTTGTAAATTTTTATCCACACTGCCTGTTTTGATGTGAAAAAGATATTTAACAAATGTAATGGCTGTTTATCATTTAACCAGTTTCTGATTGCCTACAATTAGAATGATGCTTAATACACAGACAGTATGCTAAATACTGTAACACTTGTTAATTGCTTTTTATGTTTACTCAGTTGATTTATGACTACATTCATTAGGAAGCACTGATTTCTTTCTATTCTCCTTTCTACGCTGTTCTCCTTTGCTATCCTTTTCTGGAACTTGTTGGAACTGTTGATTAAATGGTGAATAAATACAAGTAGGTCTTCTATTGGTATTTCTCTTTTCTAAAAGTTAAAAGCTGTGTTACTTGTTCTCCTTTAGGTATTTCGTCAGTTTGTACGACATGAGTCTGAAGTAGCCAGCAGTTTGGTTCTTGAACGATGTAAGTAACAGATTTCTAAGCTTACAATGTTATTTATAATACTCTGCTAATACTCTCAAAGTACTATAGAACTGGTGGACTGTGTTTCGCCATGTGTTGCAGGATATTTGATCACACTGTCAACCCTGAGATTGTGTTATTTACTGAAAGAAAAAAAAAGTTTCTAGTTGCAATGTGGCTCAGCCTTAGCTTACACCTTTAATCTCTCTGCTGTAATACAGATCTGCCCTTAGTATACTCCTTCAATCTCAAACAATGAAGGTTAAATTAGTTTGTAGAAGGAATTACCCATGTTTGAAAGTGCTGTGTAATTGACTATCAGACAAAGTGAATCAGAAAGATTTGACAGAATAGGATATGCTCAACTCCCATGAGAACAGAGAGGTAAGGGAAGCTACCTCAAGGACAGTTCAGAGAAAGAGGAAGGCGGTTTTACTGGGATGATTATAGAGAGACAGGTTACAGAGAAAGAACAAGGTAAAGTAAGGACACAGGTAAGGACAGAATGAGCCAGAGAATGAGAAGGAACCAGAAGATTAGAGCATATTGCTAAAGTTAGTATGAGGACAATCAGAGCAATTCAGTCAGAGGCCAAGAGAGAAGCCAGATTGAATCAGTCAGCTTGAAGAGAAATTTGAGCCAGAACAGCTGAGTTTACCAGCCAGCGAGAGTTCAGAAAGAACAAGAAAGAGTGAGCTTATTCAGCAGCAAGTCTCAGAGGCTCAAACCATTCTAGGCCTAAATAAGATTGTGCAGAGGGTAGGAGCTTCCAGGACTAGGCTTAGGTTAACATATGAAGGCAGTAAGCCTTGGAGACGACAGTTACTTCAGGCGAATAAAAGATACTTTTACAGCTATGCAACCCACCATACATTTGGTTTATTTTACCTTGCATGTCTAGCTGTGAAAACCTATTATAAATAGGGATTATAGTGTGGATATCACTCCCTCCTGCTCCACTCTCTGACTCAGTTCTTCAAGACTGTGTTATACAGGACACAAAGAAAACTTTTACAGAAATACTTCTTTTTGTAATAGAGATTTTCTTAAATCTAAGATTTGCTCTTAGCTCAAGATAAAGAGCTTAAAGTTTGTTCTGTGGTGTTGCTTTTTGCTCTCTGCTTTCTTATCAGTCCTTTTCCCCCTCCAGACTTCCTTTATTTTCCTTTTTAACTTAATTTGTCAATCTTCTTCTATAGCTTTAATTTTTCATAATGCAGAGATTAATGTTGAAGCAGTATTTGCTGTTGTTCATTCTCTGGATGTTTCTGTCAATTTCAGGTGTGGGTTTATCCTGTCTAACTGTCCTGCACACTATAATGAATAGAACAGGGTTGGCTTAAGCAATAGAGATTATTTCTTACATCTCTGGTCTTGAAGGCCAAGACCAGTCTGTCAGGTTGGGTTACCTGTCAGGCACAACTTACTGGTTTGCAGATAGTTGCCCTGTCACTTTTGTCTTTATATGCAGTAGTGAGGTGGTTGGGAGTCTTGTCTTTTTTCTTTCCTTATAAGGAGTCTAATTCCATCATGGCGGCTTCACCTTCATAACCTCATCTAAACCTAATTTCCTACACAGGGATCACCAGATACTGTCACACTGGAAGTTAAAGTCAGAGAACCAAGTTTTTAGGATGCCTAGACATAGTCATCAGCTGGTTTTCAGTCACTTCATCTCTGCTTTTTATTTCAGCTCTGAATCGTGTTCAGTTACTTGGACGAGTAGGTCAGGACCCTGTCATGAGACAGGTGGAAGGAAAAAACCCAGTTACGATATTTTCTCTAGCAACAAATGAGATGTGGCGATCAGGGGACAGTGAAGTATACCAAATGGGTGAGTGTTCGAGGCTCTAGGTGTTATTTATCAACAGTGAGTAGACATTACTTATTATTGCTTACCTCATAGTAAAAATGTTAACTTATAGATACAGCCTGGCTTCATTAGTTCTGTTCTTCTTTTTTAGAAATTGTAAGCTTGTTTTCCCGAGACATGTTCTGTGTTGTTGGCATTTGTGTTACCTGCTGGTATCTGTAACCCCATTTCCTGTATCTGGTGGTTTAGGTGACGTCAGTCAAAAGACGACATGGCACAGAATATCAGTGTTTCGACCAGGCCTCAGAGATGTGGCGTATCAGTATGTGAAAAAAGGGTAAGTTAGAGAAAAGATCTTCTGGATTGAATGGCCAAAAAAGTCAGTAACAAGTGTTCTCTTGTCTGCCTTTCCCCTAAGTGCTGACATTAATATGTATTTATTCCTTAAGGAATACACAAAAATTTATTCCTTAAGGAATAAATTCACAAAAAGTCTCTGGTTAGCCCACTGTCAAGTTAGGGCAAACAGCATCTGTACATAAATAGAAATAAATGAGGCAAGATACTGCATGGCCATTCATGCTACAGCTGCAGGTGCCTTCTGCAAAGTGTCTACAGAGTTTGTCTGTAGGATATCCTGTGTCCCTGTGACCAGGGATCATGGAGGTCACATCTGGCCTTTGAGCAACAATGTAATGTCTTTAGAGAAACTGGACTATTTGATGTCTGATGTGCTAAGTTATTATGGGAGCTTTCACAGTAGTTATATCTGATAATTTTTTTTAGACCTAGTAATTCCCATTTGGAATGCTTAGGTTGGGTTATGTATTCTGAATGTATAGAGTAACAAAAGAATGTTTTTATGGATTTACTTCTTATGTTTAGAAATACACTTATTTGTAGAACTAAAATATTTCATGAGAAATAATTTTAGCAATGACTCGAATTTCAATATCTTTGCAGTAATTACACACCTTTTCTTATGTATGTATACCTTATGTATGTATGGATATGTGAAGACACATAAACACAGGATATTTGAAGGAAAAGGTCAACAGTTTGTGTGTTCGTGTGTGTGTGTGTGTGTGTGTGTGTGTGTGTGTGTACACCCAGTGCTTTGTATATGCTAAGTGAGTGCTGTATCACTGAATTATATCTCCTGTACTTTATGTAAAGTTTTGAGGCAGGGTCTCACTGAGGTGCCCAGGCAGGCCTAGAACGTCCAGTCCTGGGCTTTAGCTTCCTGTGTATTAGATTATAAAAAGGTACTACCATGCCTGAGTAGCATTGTCTTTCTTAACTAAGATTGTGCATTGTGTTTCAGCACTCTTAATTTTGAAATTGAAATGTGTTTAGCAGTTGTTTCATCTTCAGCTTGTACTTGCTACCCATGTTCTGGCATCTGGAAAAGCAGGATTAGAATCTACAGACTAAAGACTGCATTTCTTTGTATCAGGGCTCGTATATTTGTGGAAGGGAAAGTGGACTATGGCGAATACATGGATAAAAACAATGTGAGGCGGCAAGCAACAACAATCATAGCTGGTAAGAACGTGGTGCGCAGCGTTTCCTGTTGTTCATTGAGAGGCTTGGCATATTATAGGCTGCTTTCCCTGGGGCTCTAAGTACACCTCATGGCAACACAGCAGGGAACGCCTCAGAGGACTTCCATACTTTTCCTTTTACTGTTTGCTAACGTTGTCCACATTTATGTCTTCCTCTAAAATGCTGTCAACTCACATGTTTTAGGAAGAACTCTGCGTAGAGTATAAAGGTGACTTGCTCCTGCAGTACATACTGTTAACTTGCAAGAATTTAATCTCACTGTCTTTTGAAACACTCTGGCTGTACAAGAAGTGCATATGCCAAGGCAGTTGCAGAACTGTGATGTTAGGAATTTGTGATTTATTCAAAACTTTGAAACTGAAGGTGCAACAGCCTTCATTTGAAATTTAAAAACTTTGGTCTTTAAACAAAATACAAGACAACATGGACTGCATAGACATAAACCAATATGATAGAGTTCAAATCGCTAAAGTTTTAGACGAATTTTGAAAACAGTACAGCTATTTATATATCTGTAACTTAAATGCTTTTTTTGTATCAAATTATATGTAGATTAATGAAATATTTACCAATTTGATACCATTTTTTTTTAAATATCTGCTTAACAGATTTTAGTGTTAACATGAAAATTAAAATGTTACTAAAATTCATCTTTTAATGAGATAGACATTTTATTACTTCTTGAATAAGTTGCAAAAGTTATGAGTTAAGCCTCAATATACTTGTTTTTGTTATAAACACCTAGAAACCTGTTTTATAGGTAGGAGTGAAAAAAAATCTCACTGAAACTTCTTAGTGTTTCTGAACTCCTGAGATTCAGTATAATGAAGTGACAGCCTACAGATGGCTGCCTATGAAGTCTATGAGTAGAGAGAATGGTGGGCTAGCCGCTTGTGACTTGTGTGCTTCCCCTCATCACGTACCACTAATGGCCGGATTGGTTCATCAGCTGCCTTTCTCTCCCAGGAACAGTTGGAAGTGACATTGTTCTATTTTATTCATAAATATTAGCTCGTATTGCTGAAAGAAAAGGTGTTTTTGTAACACTGTTATTTCACCCAGTGTTGAGATTATTACAGCATTTTCTTTAAACAATAGATGTCATTGTAGCCACTCCTCCTTGGATTACTCCAGCTTCCTTATAAGCTATATGCTTTTTAAAAAATCCTTTTCTGTCCCTTCGTTCCAGTGTTTATGTCTTAATCACTGTTAATATTACTAAATTATGTTCTTTAAAGCAATAATCACTCATTTTCCTTTTTTTTTTTTTTTTTTTGCTTTTTTGAGACAGGGTTTCTCTGTGCAGCCCTGGCTGTCCTGGAACTCATTCTGTAGACCAGGCTGACCTCGAACTCAGAAATCCACCTGCCTCTGCCTCCCAAGTGCTGGGATTAAAGGCGTGCGCCACCACCGCCCGGCACTCATTTTCCTAATAGTAATATTTTTAGAAAATATATTGACTTTGAAAACCACTGTAGATATTTTTAAATCTCCATTTGTGTTTCACTATAAGCCAGATTTATAGACAGTTATATTATTTGAATTATTGAGTTTTTATAAACTAAGGTAGGTAGAGAAACATTTCACATTGTTCACAATTTTCTTTTTTCTTATCGTAGTTGTTACTGGTCTGGTCAGGTGACTATGTATTCAAGGTTCACAGAAAAGCTGAATAGCATTCAGTGATGTTAGAAAAAACCTATTTTTTTTTTCTGATTACATATAATTTTTATTTATTTATTGTATATTAACATAATCTAAACAGCAAGTCCTCTTTCTCATGTTGCAAACACTAGCAAATACAGAGTGATTTAAAGTTATATTTAGCACCCTAAATTATTTTCTGTTGTTTTTATTGTTTGCTATTGTTTATTTTGTTTTATTTTTTATTTTTTATTTATTTTTTAATATTGACTCCTATTAATCGCTTATCTCTATACTATTTTTTCACTTAGGGGTTATATTTGACCTTTAAAACAAAAGCATACCAGTAGATGGCACTCTTAGCTTTTGACAGTGATTCCATTTTAATCCTGTATAGTCATGAAGTACTTGTTACTATTAACTATCTTTTAGATAATTTTATAGTTAAGTAACTTTTGTTGTGTTAATGAGAGGTACACAAGAGGCAGTCAGTCAATCAATCAATCAATCAGTCCACCAGAACAGGCTGCAACTGCTTTTCCACCAATTCAGACTTCATTACAGGATGAGACCATGACTCCTAAACAATATAAAATGTTTGGAGCTATCCAAGAAATGCTACTTAACTTCTTTATTTTTGGTTGGTTTTAGCTAATTTTCTTTGAAATAATCAGAGCATTGTCCACTTTGCTTTTGAATTAAAAATACTTGCTTTGTAATACTTAAAACTTTTCTCAAAAATCAGTATATGAAATTGTTTTTTAATTCTTCCCTTTCTCCCTCCCTCCTTCCCTCTCTTTTTTCCTTCCTTTCTATTGGCTTTTTTGAGGCAGGGTTTCTCTGCTTAGCCCTGGCTGTCTTAGAACTCACTCTGTAGATCAGGCTGGCTTTGAACTCAGAGATCCACCTGCTTCTGCTTCTTGTCTGCTGGGATTAAAAGTGTGCAATACAGCCACTCAGCTAGAAGATGAAATTCAGTGTTAGGATTTAAAATGAATCTATTTCCTTAAAAGCAATTAAACTTGCAGTTGCTAAGTTGTAAGCTGGCTCTTGTGCTTTGCTATGTTTACAGCATGTAGAAGTGCAGTGTGTTCATCGATCCTCTTGTGTGTGGGTGTGCTTACTATTTACAGAAAGTTGTTGCTGGGGAGAATTTACAGTCTCATCCTGTAATGAAGTCTGAATTGTTGGATAAGCACTTGCAGCCTGTTCTGTTGGATGGATTGATTGATTGCCTCTGTGTACCTCTCACGAACACAACAAAAGTTACTTTTGAAATTTTGTAATACCACTAAAGAATTTCTGTGTTGGAGGGGAATTATCAATGAAATGAATCAGCATTCTGAAAGTGACTCTTACACTTTGGTTTCTTTCCAGATAACATTATATTTCTGAGTGACCAGACAAAAGAAAAGGCATAGAACGGATGATTCTTCTTTGATCATTGTTTGGTACAGTCTCCTTTGCAAATCATGTATAGTCTATAGTTTAAAGATAAAAATTAAAATTTTTATATAAAATGAGTGGTAATATTTTTCTTGATTGATATATATTCTTGTGTGTGTGTGTGTGTGGATTAAGCCTGTCCTTTATGGCACTTGCCAATTGCTTGTTTTTTAAGGAGTGGTTTCTCTATAGAAAGGTACAAAGTAATGAATTCTCAGGCTTCACTATGTGTGCCAGGACCAGGGCATACATTTGGAAAATCTTTTCTGTCACACTTGTCCTGTGGTGTTTCACCACTGGTTACTTTAGAGCCTTATGTCAGGTATCTGTCTGCCCTAGTTGTAAACACTGATATTCTTACCTATCTCTGTAACTTGTAGGTAAGTACTGGCTCTGCTTGGTGTACCCATACCCTTAGTAGTGTTGACACTGAGGAGCCACTCAGTAAGTGCTGACAGGGAAATGATCCCGAATTGAAGGAGTCTGCTGAACACGAGTTAGCATTCTAAACTGTTTCAGAACCCACCTGCATATATTATTTCTTGGCAGTTTTGCTGTAGTGTTTATAAGACCTTATCGGCACTAAGGACCTGAGTAAAGCATAACTACAGATGATGTAGTTCCTCTCCTGGTACCCAAGTTCTTCTTTCCATACCACTCTCTGTTATCCTTCTCAAAGTTTATTCCATACTCTTAAGGGTGGAGATGAAGATTTTTCTGTGGTGCTGCAATCAAACCTATGGTCATGTTAGGCAGGCCCTCTCCCACTGAGCTATACCTATTTCAAGGATCTTTTAATTCCTTCAACTTTGCCTCCCTAAAGAGTCTGGATTAGTTAATTTTATTGTAAATTTACTAGTAATTTACCAATAAAGAGTATATAAACTCAGTTTTTATATCTTTATTTTTTTAAATTTTGTACAAGCCATCCATAGTCAGCTTACAGCTTCAGAAGTCTGTTGCTTTGTTTAGTGTTTGAAATTCCTCATCCTGTCTGTTCCATGCTGCTCCCCCATCCCTGCTCCCCAGACCAGCCATGTGTTTGTTCTTTGCCTTGAGAGTTTAGATTATGTTGGACTCTAAGAAGTTCAGAATCCACACTCTTGCTTTCTAAAATGTTTCCTGTACACATGAACATCCTTTCTGTTCTGACAGTGCAGTTTGTTTAAAGGAAGGAGTAGTTCCTTAGCTGTACTCTTTCCTTACCCAGAAACGGAGAAGTTGCAGTCCTCCCTATTTGCCTACTTTTTCTGCCACTGGAATCATTGGTTAACACACTTGATCTTTCTTTGATCACATGTTGAATCTGATAGGACAGTATTCTCTTTGGAGCCACTCTCATGTATTTTGCTCAGCAAGGCTGCTTCTGTTTTAAATTTTATACACGCCATCCATAGTCAGCTTACAGCTTTCCAGAAGTCTGTTGCTTTGTTTTTGATGTGATTATGTTAGGGCTCAAATTTGCAGAAAACTGCCCTGCAAGTTTGTTGTGAGATTTTATCCCATACTAAATGGAAAGATGACTACATAGAAAAGTAGGAGAAAAGATAATCTTAAACACTGTGAGAGGTTATATGTATTCCTGAGTGAAATTTTAACAAGGTGGAAGTGGAAAAATCTCATCATGTACAGAAACCAGCTAGAAACCAAAGCCACTCCTGAGTGTAGGCTGCAAAAGTATAGCAATACATCCTGTAGGATCATCTCTGGGAGCTAAAGATTGCCTGCCCTCCCTGCCTCCGCAAGTGAGAGGTGGAGGCAGCAGCACTTCACTCAGGCTGACTTTTCTGCCTTCCTTGTGATTTCAGCCCGTTCCAAGCCAGTCGGATTGCTGGAGCCTAATCCCATGCAGCCCCATCTGCTGAGAAACTTCACTGCTCCCAAGCTTGACCTAGCGCAGAGTAGATTTGTAAAAGCTAACAGCACTAAGAGATTGTAGGGACTTGTAATTCAAGTTTGGGATCTTAAAACTTCTGTTTTTGATGTGATTATATTAGGGCTTAAATTTGCAGAAAACTGCCCTGCAAGTTTGTTGTGAGATTTTATTCCATATTAAATGGAAAGATGACTACATAGAAAAGTAGGAGAAAACATGTCAGACAGTAATATGTGTGGTAATACCCAATGTTTTAAAAATTAGTTTTCAAAAGTATGGAGGCTATATATACTTTAAAAGGCTGAAAGAGAAGTGGCAAATGCTGTGATTGTCTGTAGGGGTATTGTGTGTAGATCCGTACTTTATACTACCTGTGCATGCTTTTAACAACAGGCTGTACTTTAAGACGTGGGGAGCTCTTTTCTAAACCACAGAGCGTTACTCCTGCTCATCCTGCAGCCAGTGCTGCTTCATATACTGGAGTGATGAAGAAAGCTTTCCCTACATACCCTGGTCATATGCTCTTTAGTGTCTTGCACCTGTGTACTTTGTCTTCACTCGCCCGTCATAGCGTGTGTGTGGCTCTGAAGGCTGCACTTTACAGATGGATCAGTATGAGACCCACTGTTCACTTCCATCACAGTTCTCAAACTGGATGATTAACTCATACAACCTCAAACACCACACACTGTTTCTGAGGCTGTTCAGGGAGATTGGTTATTGTTGCTCATGAGGTTTTGTAAGCTAAGCTTAATAGCTGAGTAAGAAAATTAAGAAATGTTCTCTTGTTCCCAAAAGAGACCATGTAATTCTTAAAATTAGTTTATCCTCCACTCAGATTATCCCTTTGCCCCTACTTAGCTCAGCCTAGCACAGTGACATTGTGCTGTGTTAGTCATTCATTGGCATGGAAATACTGACATGGAAATGAGAGCCGGATCATTTTTCTTACTTTCTTTCAGGATTTGCATTATATGCTGTGAAGACTAGAGGGAGTTAACAGCAAGACAAATTATAGCAGAGGAGCAGTGCTCTCTCAGGTTAGTAAGTTACAGGGAAACAACTGAGACAGTGACCATAATCGTCGTAATGACTGAGCTTTCTTGGTCCTTTGGATGAGTCAAGTATTGTGCTAAACACATTTTATTATTGTCTCGTGTAACTGTTTTCCACGAAGAAAGTGATAGTATCATTTTACAGATGAAATTCAGAAGCAGAAAGATTAAAACAATGTCCAAGCCATACAGTGGGACTTTGGACTCAGGTATGTGAACTGTTAGCTTTCTTCCATCCACACTCATGTTCCACTGGTCTGAGGTAGCTCCAGCTATCCACTGTTAAACTGCAATGTCCCATATAGTGTACTTCCTAATATACTTGAAAGAATTCATATGTTTCAGTTAGGGAGAGACTCAAAAGTGAAGGAAATACTCTACCTCTTGTTCTCTCTTGGTGATGCTGTAGGAAACAAGCCACAGTTCGCCTACTGGCTTCTGACAATCCTGCCTTGCTTGTATCAGGCAAGTAAGTGTCTCCTTACAGGTCAGAGTAACTTCAATGTGTCTGCTGGTTTCACTGTTGACCTACCAAGCACTGAAATTGTCAGGACTGCTCAGGAAGTTTTCAAGCTCGCTCACTACCTGGCACCAGTATTTTCATATCTCCGTTTCACTCTTTGTCCCGTCCTAGCTCCACCTAGTGTAATTGTAGGTAACTTCTGTGGTTACTGACACATTATTTCTTGATTTTTAAAAAAATTCCAGTTATTTGCTTCCTGCCGTGTTTTAGACCACAGGGATTTATTTTGCTATAAAAGTGTATATCAACTGTATCAACTTTCAAGCTATATCAACTTTCTCTGCCTTGTGTATTGTTTTAAAAGGAAAAACAAAAGGGTAGTCTCTAGTAATAATTGTCAACGTAAGGCTATACAGTCAAATAACTTAGATCTACTTAACAGCTGAATGTAAGTTACTTAATTTTCTCTCCCCTCGGTTGTTTTGTTTTTCTTGAGTAAAACAAGGATAGTTGTACCTTATAGACCTGCTTTGAAAAACACAGTAAATATATAATGTTTGTGACTTAAACTTGTAAATGAAAAATGTGCAGAACATTTTGGCTACTATTGTAGCTATTTTAAACAAGGCATGTTATTCAACTACTTAGGTAGTCTCATGTGGGACTTGTGAGTATATTAACTTAGGGTAGTTTATTATTTGGCTTTATTGTTACTAACTTCAATGAATACCTGACCGCTTATTCCACGTTGGTGGTATAGTGTGGTTGTTTTAAATCTTTCTTGTCTACCTATAATTGGGTATTTTAAACTTAAGCTAGTTGGGCATCTGCTGAATACAATGCAACAATACATACCTACATATAGGTCTTTTAACAAGACCCATATGTTAAAGGAACTCATCATGTAGGATGGTGAGGGCCAACAAGGAAGGAAAGCAGAAGATGGTGTGCTTAATTGTGACCTGATGTGGGAGGAGTTCAAGAGAGAGTAGCAAGTACTCCATTGTTACCACAGGAAGTAGCATGTACAGATGTCCAGACACTTAAAAGATTTTGAACAGTGGAAGGTAAGACAAGAAAAGTGGGTTTGGGATAACTTCAGAGGGCTTTGGAAACAGCGGAGAACTTCAACCATGTGGAACTCTTGGAAACAAGAGTATGTTAGAGGTATGGAGAGAGCACAACAAAAATGGAGTAAGGGGTAAGGACTGGGCAGCGTTAGAAGCAGTAAAGAAACACCAGCAGTGTGCTTGCAAATGTTGATAGGATACATGCAGGGAATGACTTGAGGGCATTTGGAGTTCAGGTGGATTCTACACATACTATGCTCGAGTTTTCAGTGAGACCTTGTGTTTACTCTAGCTTAAAACTATCCAAGGAAAGGTTGGGGAAATAGCTCAGAGGGTAAAGTGCTTGCTGTTGAGATGACCAGAACCCATAAAACAAAAACAAAAACCCAGTACACTTGTATATGCATGTAATTCCAGTCTTAGGAGGCACAGACAGGAAGATTCTGGGACCTTGGTAGCCAATTAGTTAACTCTAGGTTCAATGAGAGACTTGATTTCAAAGAAATAAGGTAAAAAACAATGCAAAGAGAAACGAATGTGGACCTCCAGCCCCTCTTGTGTATACATGGGTATGTGTGCACTAGCATGGGTATTTTGCACATAAACACACATGAAAAAGACAAAAAAAAAGCATACAGCTTCTACTTGACATCTAGTACTGGCACAGTAAGTAGCTGTAAGAAAAAGCAACTAGGTTTTGGAGCTTCCTTCTATCAGATGGGCAGTAGACAGTGATACTCCCATTTCGGGATGTGGGAGCAGACTTCAGAGGGTGAACATCTATGGAAAGTTTAGAGTTAAGTTAGGCAAAGAACAGAAATGAACTCTGGGAAGAGTCTTTTCTGAGTCCATATGGCTCTGAGAATTCAAAGCTACTTAGAAAGTAAAGCACAAACATGATTAATATACTACATTATGTATATATTCACAGAACTGGTATTTGTTTGAAATAACAATAGGCACAACTCAAATACTACATTTCTGTTCATGGTGGTTATGAATTGACAAAACGTTATGTGCAGAAGTCATTTGGTGAAACTTTTAGGAGAGTTCTAGGATGAACTGTTTGGAAACATGCCCTTTGTGTTTCTCTAGACTCTCATTCCTTGACCTTTTCTTTCTTTTCTGTGATGGGAACATGTTGGCTGAATTCCAGGTGCCATCCAGAACATGGAATAGTCTTCAGTGTGGAAGATGGAAGAAGCTGAGCCTGTGATGACGTAGAACTACCAGAGCATACCTGGACAGGCCACCTCTGAATTCTTTGGGAGATACAAATAAACCTCTTGTGTTTGTGTGCAGTTAAATCTTCCTTACAAATTCATACACATTCACCTTTATGTCCATATAAATTGTCAAATCTGTGCTTTGGGGGTGGGTCATGTTTTGTAAATTGAAGTAAGAAAGACTTATCACTGATCCCACATTATTTCCAATTCAGATTATTAGAAATGTGGGGAAGGAGTTGGACCATGAAAAATACACAAAACCTTAGCAGTCAGATTAAACAAGCTCCCCCCACCCCCCGCCAGGAGTAAGGGTCTGTTAAGCACTAAATTTTTTCTTATTCTCCCTCGTAAGGAACCTTAGCTCTCCTAAGGGAGCAGGTAGGTTAAAAGTTGTCTTTATATTTCCCTTGCAGATGGCAGATTAGAAACTGAGTTGGGAGGCTTTCCTAAGTATAAATTATTTCTTTTAGGTTGGTAGGGCTATTAATCTGCTCAGGCAGCCAGAATAAAGTACAGATTAGTAGTTTGAAAAGCAGACATTTTCTTTTACTTTGGAAGCTGGAAGGCTGAGCTCGGGCCCCGTGATCTGTTCCGGAGAAGAATCTTTTCCTGGCTTGTAAGTGGCTGCTGTCTTGCTGTGCTCTTTTGGCCTTTATTTTGTGTGATTGCAGTAGCAGAGCCCTACCCTTTTGATCGTATGTAACCTTAGTTTCTTACTTAAAAAGCTCATCTTCAGGTACTTTTCTGTGTGTTATGTTACATGGAGGGTAAGAACTATGGATTAAGAGAGCAGGGACATATACAACCCATTGGCTTGCAGGAAGAAAACAACTCAGTTTAACATTTTAAAAATCGCTAAAATATGAGCAAACCACAGAACAAAGGTTTGTATTTGTTTTTCTTTTTTACTGTTAGAAGCAGCTTTTATTGGCCTGTTGTCTCCAGAAACCACAAAAGCTGTGTGCTTTCAGTTATGCCCCATCCCTCCAAGATGCCTCCAGGGCTCTACTTGGAGAAGGGATACAAATTGCCTATTTCAAGGTCCAAGTCTTCTCTGTACAGATTAACTTATAAATCTGAACAAAGTGTTCTTTAATGTATCAATTGTGTATTGTGGTTTATAAATAAATGTTATATACCCAAGGCGTGTATTAAACATTACATTTTCCTTCCAAATGGAAAGATGAACACTTATCACACTAAGAATAGCAAGTACTGTTACAAGAATGTTAAGATCAAGAAGAGAATGTGATTCACCAATGTTCTCATTGCTTTGAAAGTAAATATGGGTAAGAGTTACAGGAAATTAAACAATACTGTCAAATTCTAAACAACATCAAAAGTTAATTTTGAAAAAATGTCATCTCAGAATATCAGAATACAAAAGTCTTTAGTGAATGATCTCTGAAATGCTTTATAAAACCTTATTGGGACACATTAAAAACACCAGTACATCATGTTTATTGGAAACATCACCATCATTGTTACAGATGGAAAAAAGTTATTTTCTAGAAATCATTCAAGGAGATGTGACAAGTTGATTTTGAGATGCTTTGACAAGCAAATACCCAAGAATAGTGGACTCTTGGAGAATGAACTAGGGGATGTGCTCTACTAGTTAAGGCTTGGTGTGAGTGTGTGTGTGTGTGTATGTGCACACACGTGTATGGTTACTGTGAGAAAGTGTACTACTGATGTGGATACAAAGCAAAGTAGTGACATAATAGAGCCCCAAAGTTGATCATTCATATGTGAAGACAAATGGTATGTAACCAATTATTATTCAACCAATGATGTCGGAAAAATCTGTTACTCATTTGGGGATGGGGAGAAAAATGGATTCTTTATACTTTATGCAAAATTAATTTTTGGCTATTGAGACCTATTTGCAAAATTCAAAATGATATTTTTATGAGTTGAGGTTATGGAATTTTTAATGAACTTATTTTAAGACCAGTGACATTGAACTTGATGCACATAAACTTCCAGTGTGGTAGAGTTCTGGCATTTCCTTGTTTCTGTCTGTCCTTGTAGAGAAACAAGACTTCTTACCTTTCAAGTAGTTCTGTGCTTCCTTTAGGTACCAGTCATCTTTTTCTTCTGGGTGGTTCCCAGCACCGCTTTTCTGTAGTTTATGTTCTAAAATACCCTGACAAAAGCATTGTAAGGGAGAAAAGGTTTATTTGGTTATACAGTTCCAAAGGGAGCAGCAGGCTAGCGTTTCTACACTGTGGGAAGCAGTGAACAGAAAATGGGGCCAGCACAAAATTTCAAAGCCCATCCCTAGTAACAGTAATGCACTTCCTTTTGCCAGGCTCTACCTTCTAAGGTTTCCATAACCTTCCCAAACAATGCCACCAGCTGGCAGTTTTGTTTTCAAACACAGGAAATGATAGACAATGCTTTGCAGTCAAGCCACAGTGCCACTCCCTCTGAAACTGAGTGTCAGTCTGTCATATTCTTTGTGACCCAGGTATCTTCCTTGTCAGTGTGACACTGGGGATTATTTGCATCTCAACAAAGAGCTGCTGAATTTAAGATCATAGAAGTGACAGTCTACACCATCTGTGAAGAGGACAACCAGAGCAGATTCACAAAGCTGTTCTGTGAAGACAGACTAAATCATGCAGAAGAGACAGGTACAGTAAAGTAACAAGGAGGTAGATCTCAGAAAGCAAAATTAAGGAGATGAAATTCATGAACGGAACAATGATCAGGGTAGCGTAAATTCTAATATGTTGGGATTCATTGAAAGCGTGTTCCTAGTTCTGACCATCACTGAGTTTATTCTTGGAAATCTGGTGAATGGTTTCATTGTGTCAATCAATGGTGGCCATTGGTTCAAGAGCAAGAAGATTTCTTTGTCTGACTTCATTATTACCAGCTTGGCCCTCTTCAGGATCTTTCTGCTGTGGATCATTTTTATTGATAACCTTATAATAGTCTTCTCTTACCACACCCATGACTCGGGGATAATGATGCAGCTTATTGATATTTTCTGGACATTTACAAGTCACTTCAATATTTGGCTTATCTCCTGTCTCAGTGTTTTCTACTGCCTGAAAATAGCCAGTTTTTCCCACCCCTCATTCCTCTGGCTCAAATGGAGAGCTTCTAGAGTGGTTGTTGGGATGCTGTGGGGCGCTCTGCTCTTCTCCTGTGTCTGCACCATGTCTCTGATGAATGAATTTAAGATCTATTCTGCCCTCACTAGAAGTGAAGACTCACCAAATATGACTGAATACAGCAGATTGAAGAGACAGGAATATAATCTGATGCATGTTCTTGGGAATCTGTGGAAGATTCCTTCGCTAACTGTTTCTCTAATTGCCTACTTTCTGCTCCTTCTCTCTCTGGGGAAGCACAGACAGCAGATGCAGCAATACAGTATCGGCTCCAGAGATCAGAGTACTGAGGCCCACAAAAGAGCCATGAGAATCATCTTTTCATTTCTCTTATTCTTCCTATTATACTTTCTTTCCTTTTTAATTTTGGCATCCAGTCGTTTCCTACCAGAAACCAAGATTGCCAGGCTAATTGGAGTAGTAATTACAATGTCATACCTTGTTGGTGATTCATTGATTCTCATTTTCTGTAACAACAAGCTGAAGCAGACATTTGTGGCCATGCTCCCATGTGAGTGTGGCTATCCACAGCCTGCATCTAAGGGGCCCTTTGCTTCATAAAACAGTAGAGGTTGTAGGATGGGGGAATTCTACAGCCTGCTTTAGATATGGAGCCTTTCTGACTTTCAGTATATCTATTCTATACCATCAATAGGAGGGATGCTGCCTGCTTTGCTCCTGATCCTACCTGGCTTAGAGGTGAAAATCATGCTTCTTAGGACCTCTCTCTATTGAATCATTTGGACAGGCACAACAGTCTTTGGGAAATGCTAGTTTAAGAACACTCACTATATAGACACAGAACTGTATTTTAATAACCATTAGCTTAAACAGAACCAGTCTCTATGTTAGTTTTACCTGACATTTTATGATGGCAAAAGCATTTTTTTCTATAGATGTGAATTTGAATTTTAGTTCTGTTAACTTTCCATTTTTGTTCTTAGATGATTTTTTTTGTGTGCTTTTCCCTCATCAAGATACACTTTGATGTTTAATTAATATTTAAAGAGAAGAATAGAAATTGATTTACTTATGATCATCAAATACCTTTGTCAAGTCAATGAGAATATTCAGTATCATGAAAAATTCTTTTAACTTTGTGAATATAGTCAGCTAGGACACATGGCATTCCTGAATGTAGATTTCTAATGTGACTAAATGATTACCCTAGATTTTACATCCAAGTACTTTGATGCTTAAGGGGAAATGTTGTAACCACAATTGATCTAAGTATAATCCAGATTTATAAAGAAAACAACAGTGGGCATTTTTCTTAGGTGAACCCAAACGGATTATGGCAAATGTCTTTCTCTGCTGTGCCCCCTCCACCATGTCTCACGAGAAGTATGTCTCAAGGAGGGGATCGTTCCTCTAACTTACTGTATTAGATTGAGTAAGCCATCTCATGTGTGAAGGGATGAAGGAGTGGCACTGACATAGTCAGAGTGCAGTTGGAGAAAATGGGGGACACAAAACTTGTTCAGATAGGCCATGGAGGGAAGGGAGGGGGGAAAAGCAAGGCTTGAGGAGACCCACAGTATTCAGTGATTTCTATAAAGTAAAGCTGCTGAGAAACTGAAATATTCTCAGGCTAGAACACTCTGGTTTGGGGTTGAAGTTCTTGGAGCCTGCCACAACATCCACTAGTCTTTCTGCTCTTGGAGAAACAGGATTCTAGATTCAATTAAGCTTGTTTGTAATTAGGCATTTCTAAGAAAATAAGAATAGGAGTGAAGAAATAGTAATTTAATCCTTGAAAGATTTGCATCTCAGTAAAAGCAGCTGCCTCTTAGACCAGAAACCATGTTGTTTGCCACACTGGAAAATAAAAAGGAGACCTCTTTCCAGGCTGTATCCTGCGTCTGCTTACTTATTTCAGTTTGCTTTCATCAGCACCAAATGAAGAAAAATGCTCTGGGAACTGTATGTATTCGTGTTTGCTGTCTCAGTTATTTTCAACTTTGTA